GCCGATATAACAAAATATAAAAATATTGAAAGCCATAGATAGATAAATAATGACGTATGACATTGTTTTTGGTCCATCAAATGAATCCAAATTCTACGAAAATAAAAGGATATAATTAATTAAAGAGTAATGAAAGATTAATCCTTTGAAATATTTTCATGAAGTGATCCAGTCATTAAACTGGATATTTGATAAATAAAGAAATATATATTACACAGCCTATTAAACAGGGAGAGGAAAAAGGTCGATACGCTTGAATAATTCGGGAAATCTAAGTTTCATATAAAAATGTTATAAACAAAAGTTTAGGGTGTAAAGCAATATATTCATTCATATTATTAATTTGACTTTGGGTGAAGTCGCCAAGATCAGGACAAGATCACCTTAAAATTTTTAAATAAAACTCCTTATTTTTATTGCATATTTTTGTAGCTTATCTAGAGAAAGCTTTTTGAAATATTATAATAACGTATTTTTTATTAAGTACTTTCTGAGTAATAAAATTTGAAAGTTACAGCACCACTGGCATTAGCATTACCCAAGGTATACCACGCGTAGTTTACTGGGTCGGATTTACATCTCTTTCAAGGTTAAACTAATAATATCAATTAATAGATCTATTTACACTTTATATCGACATTTTTTCTCACTTTATATATTCAACTTTCATGTCATTAGCGTACCGTAATAAAATAATATGCAAGTAAACACATATTCATCGTACACACCAATAATTCCACAAAGCATATTTGATGCATAACATTCTCCATATGCGATATAAAACTGCAACGTATATATAACTGTAACTGGTTGCACTTTTTAAATAAAAAGAAAACGGGAAAAATTGCTTAGAAATTTGGTTAATTTCACATGTTTATACAGCTAATAGTAAACTAATTTTTCTAAATGTAATTACACTTGATAAATCGAGTAAATTTCTAAAAACAATCGGTTTCAATGGTAAAGTGATATACTTCAATACTCTCAAATGATGCTCCACAATAATGGCCAGCCTCTGTCCGGTCGACTGGTTTCCTTTATTCTTATCTACGATTAGTTTGTGCAACCACGAGAATAGTATGTCCAACTGGCCGTATGCGTGCATAGCAAAGACAACATCGAGGCTACAAACACCTATTATGACCATATTCGTCACAAAAGCCGACAGAAGCTGGACAACTATCATGATCTCATTCGCTGGACTAAATCTCACGTCGATGAATTTGCTATAAACTGGACAGGTCATGGGATGTATTGAGATAGTTTCATTGCCGACGACGACAATTGTGGTTGTCAGTGACTTAGCTATGTCAAAGAGCAACGTGCCGCTTTGCATGAATACAGCGCAAAATCCGGAAACGAAGCGACCGACTTTAGCACGTCGCACCATCAACTCTTGATCCTCAATCTTCTGCACGAGCCTCCAGTCTGTCTCCATGTGGTGCACACATTCCCGGATATCGTCACTGTGCGCGACCAACAACCAATAATTAATTATTGCCGCGAACCAGTGGCTCAGCGGGCCAAAAATAGTGATTTTTGTTTGAACATCTTTTTCCTCCAAGGATATGTACAACAAGCATGGCACCGCGATAATCGCTATCAAAGAGGAGCAGATGAGAATAAGCGCGCACGACGTGAACTTCTCCACTCTCGTCGCCGTGTTCGCTCGTGGCCAAATACCGATTGGGATCAAAAACCAACGAGTTAATTGTAGACTGTAATCGTTCTTGCTTTTGTGCATAGTTTCAATGCCACTTGACACAAACTCGGAGGCTGTCATGATCATCTCACCAAGGCGCACGATGTACTGACTGCAACGAGCAGTGCTCCGACTAGAGCTATATTTGAACAAGCGCCTGCGCGATCCATTAGCAACTTCATTGAGCGGATAAGGTAATGTGCTTTTGAAGAGAAACACCTGCGTGTTTGATCAATAATTGATGCTCTCGGAAGTACAATGTTCCGTAGTAGGCTTCCGTGGAGAACATACGTGAGAAAAAACGGATGACAGTCAAAAGTTCTTATCGGTCTCAATATTCTTTTAAAGTACTATGCGAACGTAGATCGTGATATTAATTGAGGAAAAGTTTGTGGTAATTAGTATTCTTTAGTCACAGAATTGGACTAAATTATTAATTTTTATCTTTATATTAAACTTTTGTATACAAAATGTGTGTCCCAAATTCGTCTCCACAACTTTTGTGGGAAAGTAGGATGGATAAAAATCTTATACAGTTTTGCGATATTTGTAATAAATCTCGAGATATTAATTAAAGAATTAGAATTTCAATATTGAATCGGGTCTGACATTATCCAGGTACTCGATTATTCGGATAATAAATAAATATGATACTTCAGATTTGAGTTATCCGCAGATATTTGAATAATATTTAAAGTGTCAGTTCGAAATCGGATACTCGGAGAAACATTTATTTGAATATTTAAGAGTTTTATAAAGAAGATTAGTGAATAATCACGCGCAATATAGTAGATGAGTTATAATGGCAATAAGTGCTGCTGTATACATTTTGTCAAACTGTACAAAAAGTTGTTTATCATTTTGCAAATAAATACGAAAACTTTTTAGTTGTTAATTAAGGAAAATTATATGATTGCGCAATAATACATAAATCTTCTTTAATTAATAACTAAAAATTTGTGTGGCCATTTGCAAAATGATAGAGAACTTTAACTTTTTAGTTTAGCTTGCCAAACAGCGCTACTACAATTAATCTACCATTGCTTGTGATTAATTCACTAATCTTCTTTAACCACTTGACTCGCGCCAAAAGTCGCGCGTTTTATGCGAGAAGAAAGTCGCGCGTTTTATGCGAGAAGAAACTCGCCTTACTTCTATGCTGGAAATATATTATTGAATTTAAAAAATTATTAATCTTATGTTTTCGATATCAAGGGATCCAAATTTTATGTCAAAATTAAAGAATTTTAAAACCCTGATGTACTATCGTCTGTTACGCAAGGAAAATTCTTTCTTTTACATTGATTTAAGAATTAAGATTATACTCCGGAGTCATGATTTACATTACCAGCAAATGCGCGAAGGTTTATACTACGTTTATATGTTTTGGAAATGTTTGTTATTATTAATTTGATTTAACAAACAATATTATAAAAGTATAATCTTAGTTCTCAAATCAATGTAAAAGAAAGAATTTTACATGCGCATTGTACAGACGATAGTGCATTATGGTTTGAAAATTCTTTAATTTTGACATAAAATTCAGATTCCTTGATGTCAAAAACAATAGATTAGTAACCTTTTAAATTCAATAACGTATTTCCAGCATAGAAGTAAAGCGAGTTTCTTCTAGCGTAAAGCGCGCGACTTTTGGCGCGCGTGATAGTCAAGTGATTAATTAATATATCCAGATTTATTGCAAATATCGTAAAACAATATGGGACTTTTATGTTCACTTCAATCTGTTTTACGTTCCCATGAACGATGCGAATACTAATACTAGTATGTGTTTAGCTTTATAAAACTTGTGAAATATTTCTTTAGCGATTATCTTCATAATGTTACTCGATTGTGAAGGATGTTTGTATCATGCATCTTGGTTTATGGTAATATTGTAAACAAGGATAAACGGAAAGAATTCTGCGATTATCAATATAGATGGTCCTACAGCGGGACGCGTAAGAGAAAAACAAAGGTTATGTAAGCTCGAGAAATACAGTAAAGCATTGTCAGAAAAGTTAGTTAATTTGCTCACACACTCTTCATTACGAGTCTCTCTCTCTCTCTCTCTCTCTCTCTCTCTCTCTCTTTCTCATATTTACTTACTACAAATATAATAACCATTCTATAAACTCGTGAGATAAGTATGATCTTATGACAAACATTGAATTTCAAATTGTTCTTTTAAGCTAAAAGCAATATAGCCAATATATGCTTTTAAATAACGTAATGAAGTAACATGTATATTTAGTAGCATCCATAGTCGTTTATTATATTTATTCTAGTGAATGACAATAGGACCACATGGTTTGGTGAAGGCACATGAGATATGAAGATAGTATAAGTTTAGACTACTTCTTGTGGATGTCTAGGAAATTATTGGTAAGTAAAATTTTAATAGCGATCTGTGAGACAGACATTAGAGTTTAAAGGTTAAAAACCAACGAGTCAGCTGAGGGTTATCCCCTTGTCCACAATCTTGCTTTAATCTTTAAGTCGTAATAAATTGACCAACCACAGTTGATTATTTTAAAAATAATCAACTATGGTTGATCAATTTCTTACGGTTTAAGAATTAAAGCAAGGTTGTGGAGAAGGACTACGCTATGAAGGCTATAGTCATTGGGTGCGTTCAGCGAATAGTTGCACAACAGTTGAGCAATTCGTCGATGTAATTGGCCTAGATTTAGGAATCTAAAAGTAAGAACCAATAATTGCTGATTACTCATTGAGCGCTGTTTCCACACCCATTGTTGCTTTTGTACGAGCATTCGATGTTGTTCAGCATGCATTCAAAATTTGTCATGATCGTTTGATGAAGGCGCACAATGTACTGACTGCTACGGACGATGCACCTACCCGAAAATATATTCTAACGGACGCATGCGCGCATCTTTAGAGCGAACAATTGATGAACGGACAGGGCGATATGCTTTTTAAAAGAAACGCGTTATGACTGATCGATAATTGATGCACATGAAAGTATCGCGCGCACTTCGATTGCGTGAGCAGAGAACGAAGAGGGAAAGTATGCAGGACAGTGACAAATTACTTCACGTTGCTAACTTCGTCTTATAGCGTTGCGTATAAATTTCTATACAATATGCATATGTATTGATTGAGGAGGCATGTTAACTTACGATAACTTATATTTTACAGTCATAAATACTGTAAATATTTTATCTTTCGTAATACGGAACGTTAATACGTTCAACTTGAACACATATAATCGCATTATATTTGTGAGTAATGTGTCTCATAAAACTATATTGTAATATAATTATTTATATACTTTTACTGAATACTGTTTATTAAATACTGTTTTCTACTTTGATGATATTACACATCTCAATTCTATATAAAATATGTTTGTTGCTGCTAATATTCACACGGGGGCTGCCATTGTTCGCAATATATTCAAATATACCATGGAAGTTTTAATTACCTGAAAAAGCAATGTCCCTTCTTTCCAATTTATGATATAAGTTAATAATATAGATTAATAATATTTTACAAGCTTTTTACATTATTTGAAATTAGTGCATAAACGTAAAGAAGTAGCAAATATAAAGAAGTAAGCAAAACGTGAAAGAAGTGAAGCTGAATAGGAGCGTTATAACAATTTAGAATGTAAAGTAAAAACGGCATGTATTAATTGTTTATTAATACAGTTCATCATGAACAATGTATGCATTACTTACATCACCAAAAGTTGCGATAGACAATTGAAACAATTTTCCAGCGGTTATCTTGATAACGCTATTCGATCGTGCTATTATCAAAATGAGCTCAAGAGCAGTTTTGTGTGGTAATTCATACCAGTTAATCATATATGCTTTTTCACCAACATTCTTACACTAATAAATGCAAGATTTAAATTTGTATTGATTAGTCCGAGAAATGTAAAGAAATTTAATCAATATCAAGATTTGTTAAACTTAAATAATATTAAAACTTTTTTAAAACAGAACTTAAATTGTCCAGTGTTCCGAAACATCTTTAAATAGTTACCTGTTCCGTGAGAATCTCGCCGATATAACAAAATATAAAAATATTGAAAGCCATAGATAGATAAATAATGACGTATGACATTGTTTTTGGTCCGTCAAATGAATCCCAATTCTGCGAAGATAAAAGTATATATTTAATTAAGAATAACGAAAGATTAATACTTTACGATATTTTAAAGAAGTGATCCAGTCATTAAACTGAGTATTTTTAGTAAATAAAGAAATATATATTATATAGGCTATTATACAGGATGGGGAAAAAAGTTGGGTACATTTGAATAATCCGGAAAATCTAAATTTTATAGAAAAATATTTCAGACAGAAGTTGTAGGGTGTAAAGAAGTCTGTTTATTGATATTATTAATTTGATCTTGGGTAGGTTCGCCAAGGTCAAGATTACTTTAAATTTTTTAAATAAAACCTCTTATTTTTTATTACACATTTTTATAGTTTTCTTCGAGAGCTTTCCGAAACACTGCAATAACGTATTTTTTTCATTAAGTACATACTTTTTGACTTGAATGCCACCGTACTGTCGGCATTAGCATTACCCAAGGTGTACCACGCAGAGGTTACTCAATCGGATTTACATCTCTTCCGTGTATGTATGTGTGTGTATGGGTACGTATGATGCGCGTGTGGCTCTGGGTGTGAGCGTGTATGGGTGTGGGTATATGTGGGTGTGGCTGTGCGTGCGTGCGTGTGCATGGATGGATACAAGGATGATTAGGTGAATGATAAGTTACGGAACAGATAAAGACTGAGGACCGTCACATCACAACATACACACACACATAAATACACGAAAGAAGTGTAAATCCGACTGAGCAACCTCCGCGTGGTATACTTTGGTTAATGCCAGTGATACTGTAACTTTCAAGTTTCATTATTCAAAAAGTATTTAATGAAAATATACGTTATTATAGTGTCTCGAGATAAGCTACAAGAATATCCAAGAAAAAATAGAGATTTTATTTGAGGTGACCTTGCTCTGACCTTAACGAGCCCAAGGTTAAACTAATTATATCAATTAATAGATTTCTTTACACCCTATAATTTCTTGTCTGTGTGTGAAACATTTTTCTATAAAACATATTTTCTGAATTATTCACCGACTATTTTGCTCATTCTGTATATTCACCTTTCATATCATTAGCGTACCGTGATAAAATAATATGCAAGTAAACATATATTTGTCGTAGATCCCAATAATTCCACAAGACAGATTTGATGCATAATGTTCTCCATATGCGATATAAAACTGCAACGCATACATAACTGTAACTGGTTGCATTTTTTTAAATAAGAAAAAAACAGGAAAAATCGCTTAGAAATTTGGTTAATTTCATATTTTTATATAGCTAATAGTAAATTAGTTTTTCTAAATGTAATTATACTTAATAAATCGAGTAAACTTCTGAAAACAATCGGATTTAATGCTAAAGTGATATACTTCAATACTCTCAAATGATGCTCCACGATAATGGCTAGCCTCTGTCCGGCCGAATGGGTTCCTTTATTCTTATCTACGATGAGTTCGTTCAACCACGAGAATAGTATGTCCAGCTGGCCGTATGCGTGCATGGCAAAGACCGCGTCGAGGCTACAAGCACTTATTATAACCATATTCGTCACAAAACCCGACAGAAGCTGGACAACTATCATGATTTCATTCGCTGGACTAAATCTCACATCGATGAATTTGCTATAAATTGGACAGGTCATGGGATGTATTGAGATAGTTTCATTGCCGACGACGACAATTGTGGTTGTCAGTGACTTAGCTATGTCAAAGAGCAACGTGCCGCTTTGCATGAATACAGCACAAAATCCGGAGACGAAACGACCGATTTTAGCGTGTCGCATCATCACCTCTCGATCTTCATTCTGTTGCACGAGCCTCCAGTCTGTCTCCATGTGCTGCACACATTTCCGGATATTGTCACTGTGCGCGACCAACAACCAATAATTAATCATGGCCATGAACCAATGGTTCAGCGGGCCAAAAATAGTGATTCTTAGTTGAATATCTTTTTCCTCCAAGAACACGTACAACAAGCACGGCACTGCAATAATAGCTATTAAAGTGGAGCAAGTGAGAATAAGTGCGCCTGACGTGAACTTCTCCACTCTTGTCGCCGTGTTCGCTCGTGGCCAAATACCGATTGGGATCAGAAACCAACGAGTCAATTGTAGACTGTAATCGTTGTTGCTTTTGTACATAGCTTCCGTGCCACTTGGCACAAACTGAAAGCCTGTCATGATCACCTCACGAAAACGCACGATACAGACTGCAGCGAGCAGTGGTGGTTAGAGCTGCTTTTGAACAAGCGCCTGCGCGATTCATTAAAAATTTCATTGAGCGGATAAGATAATGCGCTTTTGAAGAGAGATACTTGCGTATCTGATCGATAAATGATGTTCTCGGAAGTGTAGTGTGGAGGGGTTCCGTGAAGAACATAGTGGGGACAGACGGAAGACAGTCCTTGTCCGTAATCAATATTCTTTTATGATGTTGTGCGAACATACGTAAATGCGTGATATTAATTGAGAAGAAATTTGTGGCAATTAGTATTTTTTAATCACAGAAATTCAGTAAATTATAAATTTTTATTTTTATATTATACTTGTGTTGCGACGTTAACGTATGCTACGATACGAGTCGTCGGCCGCGATGTCCGATTGCGACGCGACATCGGCTCACAAATTCCTCCCTTGGGCGTTAGGTGCGGAAACGGCCGCACTACCGGGGAACAGTGACAGGAACTTTGACTCCCAAGCAGCACGCATCAGCACGGAAGAGAATACGCACCACTCACGCGACCGTCGCGTGAGGCGGACACGGTCGCGTGAGTGGTGCGTATCCCCTTCCGTGCTGATGCTTGCTGCTCGGAAGTCAAAGTTCCTTTCACCACCGGGGAGTGGAACTCCCAGAGACTGCCGTACGGTCGGCAGTGAACCGGTTGGTACGGGTGCGACTAGCTCGTCGAGAGTGTTCGCCCGCGGAAGCTAGGATCTCGTAGATAAAGCGATAGTAAGAACTCATGTTCCCGATATACAGTGTTGGCAAAAAGTCCGGAAACGGTCAAATATCTCGAAAAGGATCAATTGTAGCGAAAAATATATAAGTAGCAAAGTTGTAGGGCTTAATAAAATGTACCTAATAATGGCTAAAAATTTGACTTTGGGTGGAGGACGAAGGTCAAATTGAATTTTTTAAATTGGACTCCCCTACTTTTTATTACATATTCTTGTAACTTATTTTAAGGGCTTTCTAAAAACCTATAATAAAGTATTTTTTTATTAGGCATATTTAGAGTTATGAGGCTTGAAAGGATTATGGTCTTTAACTGTTTCTGTTTCGTAAAAACGTAGCACTGTCTTCTGAACGGTGGATTTAGAAATAAAATTGCGATCAGGATATGCAGCATTGAATGTATAGATCAGTTACTTCTTCGTATGATCTATTAGGACCTTAACTTAGTTTCCGCCCAAAAAATACTGAGAAAAAGCATTTATTGTAAAAAATTTATTTAAATTATTTCAATAAAAGTATTTTCCATCACTTTCTACAACTTTTTGCCATCTTTCTGGCAACTGGGCGATACCATCTCGATAAAACGATGTTTGTTTCGAAGCAATCCATTCGTCCACCCATTCTCGCACTTCTTCAACATTTCGGAAGCGTGTACCACTCAAGCCGTGCTGCATCGATCTGAACAAGTGGTAATCAGAAGGCGCTATGTCTGGTGAGTACGCTGGGTGAGGAAGAGTTTCCCATTCGAGCTGCGTCAGTGTTTCTTTGACGGTTTTTCCAGTGTGTGGCCGAGCGTTATCGTGTAAGAGAATAACTTTG